TTGAGGTCATTTAGACCAAAAAGATCAATTTTGACAATATATTATACTGTTTCTAAGTAAACGTATACATTTTAGCTTTTCATTTTAAAACAATCTCACCGACAAAGGATTTGCACAGTGACACTATTTTGCACATATAACTTAATAGTAAGCGAAGAGAAACTAAGGATAAAAACATCTCCTTTATTAGTATTAAAAAATTAATAGTCAAAGAACCAAGCTACAGTAAGACCCCAAATTCTTACTAGTATCATACCATGCCATTTGATTAATAAAAACCACTTCCAATTGTACAACCCTAGTCAATGAGCTAAGTATTACAAAATAGAGATTGTAGGTAGATCTAAACACCTTTGATAATCTTCCAAAATGAAGTACTGAAGTTTCATATCCCTCCATCCCCCCTCGCCTGTGTGAAGACTTTCCCCTACTCCTACCTGTACTCAAGGTCATTCTCCAAAATGCCCATCTACTTGTTTTAGAACTGTATCACCATCAAAATCCCATGGAGTCCAATTATGTTTATCTTAGTATTCTAAATGACTTGCACACTAAGTGATCAATAAACACGGGAATGAACTGAAGATGGCAGGCAGGTTGAGAGGGAAGAAAAATCTGGCTATGGGATTTCAAATTGTTACAGCAGTTAAGGCTCCATCTCATTTTTTTTTGCAAATGAACCATGATGGGAAAAAGATTGGTTACTGCTGCCATGTACAGCCAGCTCTCAGATCTTTATAATTTCAAAGTAGTAATATCAGTTCAGTACACACACACTTTTCTCCACATACAGGTAAAAGGCAATCCTGTTAAAAAAAAAAAAAAAAAAGAAAAAACTTTGTAGGGCATGATGCATCAGAGAAGAGGAAACTTAACTTGCTGGCTGCTACTCGCTTCCCAGTCCTGGGGCCACAGGTGGCTAAGAGAATATCTAGCAATTAGCCAGAAGGCATTGCCACGGGTTGTGATGAAGAATGGGACCAACTCTAGGATAGGCTCAGAACCCTTCTGCCCTCAAGGATAGCTCATTTCTCCCATTACTGTCTGTTGGATGGGTGTAGATGTGAACTCTCCCCACCCTGCTGAACTTTACCCTGATTGGCTCCTGTACATTATATTAGCTATGCATGTTTTCTCATTAAAGGAGATCCTGCTTTGACAGTTCTCCCTGGTGTGTCTGTCCTCCAGGGAGGGAGGGCTGAGTGTGGGCAGCCAGTCAACCTTTACCTTTCTTGGCCTGTCCTGGTTGGGGTGTGCTCCCCCAATCTCTCCCACAGGTCAGGAGGGAATGGGGGGCGGCTAAAACCCAACTATTCTTTTTTCAAAGCCATGAATAAGTGAACTGGAGGGTGGGTGATAAAGAAGGGCCTTAAGAGCTAAGCTGAGCAATCTGGATGGTTGTTTCAAAGTGTTTCATTGATCTGTACAGTAGAAGTGAAGGACAAGGGGGTCACAGAAAGGGGAAATACTAGGCAATGATATTGGCCAACTCATTGTTTTATTGTGTGTCTGTACAAATATACAACAACTCCCACCATTATGTCCAACTATAACACACCAACAAAAAATGTGAAAGGAAAGATTTCTAACCAAAGAAATCAATGACAAAAGCAACGCATTACATATGAACCCCACAGAAGTACTCAGGAAGGATTCTAGCAGAGCTTGGACAGTAGAAATCACTCTACAGACAAGTAATGTAGCCTTAAAATAATAATAATAAACGTGAATTCAGTGTTTGGCTCTTTATGAATTTAAAATATCTGCTTAATGGTGCCTTAAAAGTATTTAATTTAAGCTGCAGAGATGACTTTTTAAAAAAGGAACCATGGACTTTTTTGCTCACACAAGTGTAATACATCATGAGAATCAATAACATGTGTGAAATGCAAATAAATTTCTCCTCACCAAGGCATAAGACATCGTTTCCTAATTTAAAAGGAGGTACATAGAGCTCTAAAACAACATTTCTCTTGATAATGAGTTATATTTTAAACCCAAAGATACCATAATGTCAGCTCTTTAAGAGGAAAGGAATGACAGAAGCCAAGAGATTATCTGCAATCTCCCAGAGCAATGTGAGGTTTATCAGAACAAAATGGAGGCAGTCTAAGGGGAAATCTAAGCCTGAATGAAAACGCAATTGTGCAAATTCACTCATCCCTCTTCAAAATTGATAAATATGAAGCAAAGTATAGACAAGGAGAAACAGCTCAGATGGCACCGTAAGAGACCTAGTGTAAGGGTAAAAGAAATTGAAGTTAAAGCGTAAAAGTTAAAGGGTAAAAGACCGGGTGTTGTACAGTTTCTAAGCTGCAAGGTCTGAGTTACAATGTAAAGGATTAGGTATTGTTAGGTTTCTATGCTACCTGCAAAACCTGAAATTTCTGTAGCTGTTAAAACAATGCTTAGAACCGCCCAGTAAACATTTCCCCTGGCTGTTTGGTTGTTTAATAACTGAAGGGCTCTGTGTAACTGGTCACGTAGTCCTTTAGGCCCTAAAACCAATCAGTTTGAATGTGTACCCCGTTTAGAAATGACCTATCACTCCAGCCTGACCTGTTCCCGCTAATGAATGAACTAATCATCTTTAGGAGTTGTTTTTCAATTTTCCCGCGCCTCATGATGATTTGTTCTCATGTATACAAAGCCCTCCACCCTCCCCAAAAAGTGTACTTAAGCAGTGCTCAGCCCCTGCTCGGGGCTCTGGGCTGCTTTCCCTTCTTGAGTGGGCACGGAGCCCCAGCATGGTGGTTCAATAAATCCCCTTCTGCCAATTGCATGAGTGGTCTCTTTCTCCGACGTTTCACGGGACCCTTACACTAGAAGAGCTGTTGTTCATCCTTCATCCCTTCTCTATTTCTAATAACCATGTTATATGATTTAAAAAAAATTAGGCTAGAGACAAAACTTAGTCCTTTTGTTCCACACTCAGAATCTTTTAAAGTTGGAGAAGGAAGAGAAGAAACCCTGAACCTCCAAATAGATGTGTCTCCTTCCAGTCATCCTCTGGCAAATGGGTAGTTATCTTCACTCTAGAGTATTCTGTATTTTGCAAATAATGACTTCTGAGGATTATAACTTAAGAATCTATAGCAAGTTCTTATTTGCCTTCTGTTCCAACAGTGCCTGCACTCTTCACAGTGAAATCTCACATTTATAGCCTGGCTTAAGTTCCCATTCCACCAAATCCAACCACTCAAATTGACATCTCCATTCTGTCAACTCTCATTTAAATTAGGAATCTATCCATGCTATAGAGTTTAGCATGTAATTGTTCCAGATTGACTTTTTGCCCTGAAGGGTAGAAACAAAAGCACTAGGTTTTTTTAAATTTCCCTCACTACTCAAATCAATACAATAACCATTTATTACACCAAAAAAATGAATCAAAGCTTACTTTTGTAAAGGAGAAAAACATCACCTTTTTAATAAAGTCATCTTTATAAGTATTAATATCTGCATTCTAAAATTTGTTTTGCTAAGCTCTAAGTGACATATTAGCAGAGAGATTCCAATACTTATACACTGCTCATGAGAAAGTTAACTATAGAAAACTTGCCACTAACTTATGGGACACATGCATGCCCTATGGCCTATCATCTCCAAAATGACAAATTCTTGCATGTGTATACCAGGAGAGACTAAGAAACCCTAGAAATATTGTTTATGATACAAAAAAACAGCCATGTAAACAGCAATTAACAAGAGTAATTTATTTATTTTTTTTTGCATAGAAAAATAACTGCCATTTAATGTATAAAGAACCTAACTCAAGTTCAAGAATTCTTCTTGTACTATAGCCATGTATCCCAACATGGGTTAACTGTAAACACGTGGTACCATGTGAAAAATCATGTTTTGTAATGGGGGTGTGTTTGTGTAAAATGGAACTTTGTAAGAATGAAGTATAAACTAAATAAGTAAACATTTCAGTTGGGAAATTTCTAGAGATAAATTAAAAATTATAAAGGAAAAGGAGTGATACAGTCAGTAAATTCAGGAAAAGCTTACCTCTGAGGAAACAGTGACAAACAGAATGAAAATATTAAGCTGGTTTGTAAATGTGACTGCATCTCTATTATAATTTATATATAACACATGTAAGAAAATCTGCCAAAAATATTTCATTTTTAAAATATAAATAAAACCATTTATTTCTGGAATGTTTGATTGCTTCAACAACTTACATAAGATATTTAGGTTTCAAAGGTCTACAGAGGAAAGACATAAGGGTTGCACAGAAGAATGAAAAGCCTATGGCAGAGGTGAACAATAAGTAATGGAAACAGGGAAATAAAACTGCATGATGTCATACACAGTCTAAGGAAGTACTTATACTTTCTAGGGCAGAGGATCTCAGTAGGCCAGCAAAACTTGGCAGAGCTCTGGCCAAGTGAACATTCCAGGAACTAGGATTCAGTGGGACTAAAACATTCTTGGGTTAGGAAAGGACTTGGCAAGAGGAACTGGACAAAGATAAATGAACTTGAAAAAGAATACGGTCTAGACTGAACAACAAAACTGATTTCAAACGATACTAACACAATATGAAATGTTAAGTCAGATGTTAATCCTTTAATAAAGTTCACTTATTCTCTTTCCAGTTATTGACAGTGTAGTGTGACTGCCACTTAATTTTAAGCAATATATTTTGTGAATCTAGTTTTCTACTGACACCCACAGATGAGAACTTCAGCTAAGAATTCAGTGTCCAAGTAGAAGGATGGTGACACCCTGAAATGTAAAGTTGTGAAAGCTTTCCCAAGATCACTCCAGTCAATTGCTCGATTCTAGCGAACAATGCTGCCAAATGTTTAGAAGTAATGTTAAAACCAAAAGTTAATTTCTACTGTTACTCTCAATTCATGCTTTTAAAACGCAATATTCATTCTTTGCTAGCATTCTCATCTTAGGATGTCATTTACCCAATCATTCCAGAAATACTTTTCTCTGTGTCTCATAGGGTAACCCTATAATTAAAATTAAAATCCTCTTACCTGTACTTTTTTTAAAGCTACTGCCACTCCATCCAACAGACAGGCTGCTCTATACACTTCACTAAATTGTCCACGACCAATCTTCTTTTCTATTCGAAAGTTGGCTAATGTATTATAGCCCATATCCGGTCGTAAGGCCTTCTGTAATTGAAAATGTCAGAAAAAGTTTCAGTCACACAATATACATTCCTCATCATTTCCACTTAAGTAGGTAATACCTACAGTAAGCTTGCAAGTATTCATTTATTCAATAAATATTTACTGAAGACCTATGCATGCTAGGCACTATGCTGCTCTGTCCTTAGTTTACAGTAAACTAAACATGCGATAATCTCTGAACTCAAGGAACTTACATTTGTAGTGGGGGGTGATAATTAGTCAAGTAACTATGAAATATATATGGTATGTGAGATAGGAAAGGCTAAAAACTTATCAATGAAGAGAAATTCAACTTGGGAATGAGAGCTTTTCAAATTTTAGTTTAGAACTGCCTGTAACTTGTCTTTAATTCACAGACTATAAATTAGTCCCATACATTATAGTATTTGATATTTTATTTTTTCTGTTTTTCAGTTGAAATGGACCTTATACACACACACAGTCCAACATGGTAACTATCGCATGAAATATTTAACATCTTGAAAGTTATGTAGCTTCCTCAGAAAGTATTTCCAGTGGTAGTGAGTTTATCAGCACATCATTATATTTTTGAATAATATTTCCATTAGTTTTCCTCCTTGAAAAAGTCATTTCTTCAACATTTTTTGGTGCTTACTATATACTGGACACCGGGCTAACTGCTAGGGAAAAAGTCAGAAATATATTCTGTTCTCTGTTTACCCAAACACATGCAAAATGATTTGCACTGTGCTATAAGAATAATTAAGGGCACTGGGACATAGAACAGTGGTTGTCTGTATTTTTAGATGTAACTTACAAATTTTATTCATTACTCTAGTTCTTTTGTTCATGTTTGTTCACTGACTCAGTCATTAAGTTATAAAGGTAAGCATTAACTGAATGTCCACTGTAGTCACTGTTTATTGCTGAGTTTACAACATACACCTAAGGAGTGCTGCCTTTCATACTCCTCGTGACACTTGTTTTATATAGGTAGAGATGCTAAGCTAAGATAAAATAGTCTATTTAGCTCTCACATGCTCTAAAAACACCTGGGCCTTTAAGATTTCTAGATTATTCTTGAGTACACACTTCCAATCCTTTACCATCTTTTCCTCATACCCTCTGTACCTTCTGTACTCAAGACAAGTAAACATGACATTCTAGTGGGGCCTGACTGTGTACACTCTAATGAGACTGAATATTAAAGGCCTATTAATGCATGCAAAGATAGCACTAGTTCATAAACACATTCAGCTTGAACTCTTACGCCTTCAAATGCACTTTGTTAAGGCTGATGACCCCATATTCTTGGCTTACACAGAGGCCATTTGACATATGGGCAGTACTTTACATTAACCTCTGATCCATTTTATCTTGTTAATTTCACTGTATCTATCATGCTAATAAAAAACTACAAAATTTTATTATGGAATTCTGTAGTACAAACCACGTATTTCTTTGGAAAAAAAAACAATAGTTTCTGTTGTTACTTTACAATGCTTTTCAATATGTAAAGTATTCATAATACAAAAAGTTTCACAAATGCATTTCATACATGCAGGACTATAAGGTAAACAATTATAAAATTCTAACCAACACCACTACAACAATACAGAGTTCTATTTTTGGTGCCTACAACCTAACAGGCACTAGGGTTTATATGCCATCTAACTTGTTTGTCATACCAACCCTATCATGTGGATTTTATCAAACCAAATGTCCAGTCCCGCTGATTCCCAGACACAGCCTACACCATACTGCCATGGTTGCTAAGCAAAGTCGCCTACTTTATAACGCAATATTATGGGACCCTACCTGATAATCCATAGACATTTCAATTTCTGGTTTAAAAACAAAACAAGAATAGCAACATGTTTTAAAAATTTTAAAAATATACCATAAGAAAAAAATTAAAATTATCTAAAGGGAATAACTTGTCATACTGTTCATTTATGAATTTTTTTTGTAGTCATTGAGCTTATTATCATTGTGACAAAAAAAGGTGCATATTTAACAAAGGATATTCACAAACAATCACTTCTCAGACACATTCAATGGATAGCAATATTTTAAAGTTTTTGAAGATTTAAAAACAAGGTCTTTTTTGAGTTGTTCATGTTTTTCCAATAATATGTTTTACATATATATTGATGATCTAAAAATCGAAGTATAATTCCTTCTCTCATGCACATCGGTACCATTCTTTCTCTTGTTGAAGACTTGTCAGTCTCAACAGTAAAATACAACTTCATCATTAGGAACAGCTTCATATAATCCATATACTTTAAATTTGACTGGGAATTCCATCTTCTGTCTGCACAATAACTTGACAAATATTAGCGTGAATTTCTAAGGCAGTGTGACAACCGCATGCTGAGAGCAAAGTCTCACTAATGTGTTTTGGCATGCAGGTTTGTAATCACACATTTACATATGCAATGACCTACATTTGCATGTCAGATCACACACTGTCTTGGTTTATTAAGACTGGGCACCTCCCTGTGCTTGGCGGCCAGAGTGGCGAGAGAGGGCCAGAGGGCGGTGTTTTTTGGCAGTTGAGGGATGAACTGCCACCAAGGATTAGGTTGATATGGCCTGAGCATTAGACACTTCATTAGACGTAATCTGTTTAACAGTGGGCAGTGTATGTAAACTTCACAGCCCATTTGCGGCACCCTTTCCCCCCCCCATGGCCTTTCTTCAAAGGGCAGTGTGGGTGAATGACAGCTTGTCTCATCTGCTCCCATGTCCTGTCACCCGGTGAAGATGTGGAGAGCTGACATGAGAAGGAGCATAGCTGCACATCTCCAACTACCGGTGGGTCTCCTTGCCACACTGCAGTTTGTATAAAAATAAGCTTGTGTAAGATGAGGTCTCCTTTAGGAGACCATCAGCCAGGTAATATATACACTTCAGTAACAATTATATGGTATTGTATTCAATGCCACACTTCATTTTGATGAGTCACATTCACTGTAGATAGTATCATATTAAGTACTTTAAATGAGAGATATCAAACAAATTCCACCCAAGTAAAGAACTAGTTTTAGGATTAGATCTACATTGTCTTCTTGGAAAAGTGAATATATACACACACAATATATACAAACAAATATATATATATACACAAATATATACAAACAAAATATATACAAATATATACAAACAAAAAACTCAACAAAACAAGATTCAAATCAGTATGAAATAACTGAAAAAAAAAAATTAAATTGACTTTTGCTGTTCTCAATTTGGAATGTAAACTGGGTTTAGTCTCTTGCAGTTCCTTAATGACCAGAGTTCTTTCCTAAGCTACACATAATGGCTTTTAGATTCAAGATGAGCCACTTGAAGTACCTTCAATTCTTGAGAGTGAAATCTACTTTGTTTATTCTGATATAAAATGACGATACTGATTATGTTGTCTGTGACAGAAGAATTAAGGTTACTTTTGCATCTGGCCACTGGCCCCATCTACCATTCACACTATCTATTCCCCAACATACTATGAGCTTTGGCCTCTCCATGGCATCATATTTGTATATTCTTATGCCTTTTGAATAATTTTTTTCACCCATGCCAAACCACAACCCATCTTTGAGATTTAGTTACACTGTTAGCATTCTTAATCATTTTTAGCCCTCTCAGATTGTCTTATTCTTTGACTGTTTTATTCTTTGGCTCTTTCCTCTATTTCAATAGCAATTCATAGAAGTCATTCAATTCTTTAAAGAGTCCTACAAACTTGGGCCCTATGCTAGGTTCTACATTATACTGGCTCTTATTTGTTTAGACATACATTTCTCCCTATTTATATTGAGTTTCCTCAAAGGCAGAAACCAAGATTAGATCCTAGCTCTCAACATCCTTCTAAACTGGGCAAACTACCCAAACCTGTTTGTATTCCTGTAAAATAGAGGTTAGTCTACCTCGAAGAATTGTGTCTGAGGGAGATAAGCACCTTGGACAGAGACAAAGCACCTAACAAGTGTTCAAGACTTTCCCTTCCCCAACAGTGTCAGTGATGACTACTCTCTACCACCTCATTCTCACAACAAAACTATTCTGATTGCATTTTCTTTTTTATGCACTCTAGTTCTCAAAAGTAAAATTATTCTTTAGTCTCTATTGTATTTTGCTCTTTCCTCCTTCTCTGGGCTACAACTGGAATCTGTCTCTGTTGCTGGACTTCATATGTACCAATGACAACAGGAGTTCCCTGTATCATCCAATCTGGGGTCTGTTGTCCAACTGTGACACCCGTTTATCATGTGAATTATCTTCCCAATTCACAAGTGGAAACAGCCTCATCCCTTGGTTTTAAGGCTATTTGGGTGACAACACAGTCACAACATATCTAACTGGAGTCACTCTATCCAAAGGCCTTTTAGTAATTATTAGGGAGAGCACTTAATACCATGAAACCATGTTTGGTGGTAATTAGGCTACTGATGGAGGCATGTTTTAGATAATGTTAAAAATCAAACTATAGAGCACAATAGTTTTGGGCTAACAAATCAATGAGTCTGAAACTACAGTTCTTCATGACAAACAAAACCTCAGAGGGCATGGTTAATTCAGCACACAATATCTTGTAAAATTACTAAGAACTGTCTATCCCATGCAAGTATTTTCAGACACTCATTTTTGGAGGAAGTCTCAAAATATAATTTGAAATAGTCATAAAAAAAAACAAATATAAGCTTACATAGGTTTGTTTTTTTAAAGTGAAAGCTTAGACCAGGTGAGACACCTTCCTCTGATGGAGGAACAATGACCCAGAGCTACCAAAGCATTTTTTTTTTTTAAGAGCTTTATGGTTATACATAGTAGTTGGGTTCATACTGACAAACTCATACATACATGGAAACAAAATGCATCTTATTAATGAGTATTCACTGGTTTTTTCTTTCTCAGCTTCTAAACCTGAGTTTTTTCCCACTTCTTCCAGGAAAACCAGATAAACAAAAAAAAAGCTTTAACCTTTCTTCTGGCCATGGTCCATCTCTATCCTACTTCCT